ACCCTGGTTTAGTGAGTATTAGAGTTCAAGTCTGAAGGGATTGTGTAGAGGGGTAAATTTAGTGTGCTTTTATAAATATATTCAGTTTCCATTTAAAATCATTTTTTAATGCTTCTAAGAGTCATCTGAGCTGGTTCAATTTGCTTTTACATTACCATTAGCTTGTATGGAAAGAAAAAACATTCTGACAAATAAAAGCCTAGGTATATAGACTCTAAGCATTAAAGAGACACAGACAATTTACACATTCCCCCCTCCAAACCCTTGATACTGACTTTACCAGAGTTCCCTCACCGTTCTTGAGACCTCCTCCCCTGTGACAGTGCTCAACCAATCGCTAAGCACGAACATTGTTACATGACCGCGAGTAGATCCACCACTCCCCTTAGCATTCAACACCAGGAGACCCTTAGGTTTTAGTGCCAGCTGAGGCAGAGAAAAAATGGGCCGAGTATCACTGGAGAGGTGGTTTTTAGGGTCCTGGCGGGACCTTTACAAAAACACTTTGTCCTGTCTCTTGAAGGTTACATTAAGCAATGAGGGTTACATTTCAGGCTTAGGATAAGGGTTTCTGGTACATGGAACATAAATGTAAAGGCCAACTCCAACCAACAAAAAGGTTGCTTCCCCCCACTGTCCCAAGCACCTAACTAATCTAACGAAATGCTCATAAGCTCCATAATTACTTATGTGAATTCACTGTCACAAGATTATCCAAGGTACCTCTTCCAGTTGTGGCGACCGGTGATTGCTTGCTGTACTCACATAAAGTAGGTCCAAGCTGGGGGAGGACCAGCACTAGATAACAGAGTGAGTAGTCTGTGAGAACTGTTGGAAATACAACAGCTTATGCTAACATGCACTGATTGTATTACTGACATGCTAATGTACTGTTATGTCTGTTGAGCACTAGATCATTCTGTGGTGCAACTCTAGTCTATGCTAGGTTTTCTTTATGCATGCTTCGATATGTCATAGACAGGAAGTTCTATCTGTATATATGTTTTCCTCTCGACTATGCTGTATTCCTGTATACATACATGTAATGTCCTGTTAAGCAAGTAAAACTTAATTCAGCATTCCTCAAGATCACAATACCTCAATATTCTGGTCCAATGGCTTCAGTGAGGATGTGTAGCACCAGCAGTACACATCTCACATTTTGGGAAACACTGAGCAAGTATACCATTCCAATTATCTACACAGATAGACATTCTATCTATTTGTAACCTTAACGATCCATCTTCCCACTGCCTGTGACATGTGAGATATGGAACCCTGGGTTCAAGTGCATGCTAAAAGGCAGACATAGCTATGCTAGTATGTTCCAGATCTCTGGCATTCAACAATGTGCATTTAGGAGAGGGGAATCCACAACTTCAACCCACTCCTGCTTCCCCTGTTGTCCATTCTGTTTCCACTCATCTGAATGGCTTTTTTTCCCATCAATGTGAAGATAAGTTTAGAGAATGTTAATAGATCCCATGTTATGACTTGCCATGGAGTGTTTCTATGAGAGGAAATAAATCAACCCTCACAACGTTTGCAGACATAAAGCAGAGCTGACTCAATGTGACAGCATGGAGGAAAACCCATAGTGCAGAGAATAAAATCAAACCATATCCCAATGTTGGAAACTGTTTTTGAGCTTTGGTATGCACGGGAACTTGTTAGAAGTAATGCTCCACTCCTGAAATGTAATACTATGAAATTAATTTATAATCAGACACTAAGGGGGTTATTCACAAAGCTGCCGTAGGCAGCCGAGTGAATAACCGACCCGAAGTGAAGTGAGCCGAACGATGTTCGGCTATTCACTTCAGGCTTGTGCGGCTGATTTCAGCCGTACACCGACTAAAATCAGCCATACATCGGCTTGCTGCGGCTGGCTGCGGGTCGGCCAAACATGCTCAGCATGTTTGGCGGACCTGAAGAGCAGAAGGAGTTCGACTCAGCCGATTCAACATCTGTATCGGCTGAGCCAAACCTCCGGCAGGCTACTCGTTGCTGTTCGGCCTATTCTCAGCAGTGAGTGAATAGTGCGGCATTCGGCCCGGCTATTCTGCTCGGTACCTTCCGTGGTACCAAGCAGAATAGAAAAACAGTTAATAGAAAAAAAAGAGAAAATGATTGGGCGGAGCTAGGAGTGACAGCTAGCTCCGCACAACTGTTTTCTATTGGCCGGGACCAGCTGTCATTACAATGAGAGCTTGTCGGAGCCAGCGGTGGTATCAAAGCCGGCTCTGCTGAGTTCTCATGGTACTGACAGATCAGCGTCCTCTGGTTACGTTGAACTATCAGTACCATGAGAGCTCAGCAGAGTCAGCTTTCATATCACCGCTGGCTCTGCTAAGCTCTCATCGTAATGACAGATGGGCGTCCCTGGTTACCTGGTAACCAGGGACGCCCATCTGTCATTACACACTGAGAACCCGGCGGAGCCGCTGTGATATCACTGTGGCTCTGCTGGGTTCTCAGTTTAATGACACTGTACACTTAGTGTAATGACACTGTGTAAGCTCCGGTTCGTCCATCGTGCACGCCGAGCCTGGTGGCATGCATCAGGCTTCGGCATACAGGGATGCACAGACTCTGGTACAGAGCGACTACACGCTACAGAGCAACAGGCACCCTCTGAGCCATGCACACTAGTGGATCACGGCACTGTCTCACGGGGATGGAGCGCCCTGGTCCACCAGTCCTCTGGGCCAGCAGGACATCAAGCCCACCGTGCAGCCCAGCAGGGAGGATCACATCCAGCACCAAGCTGGAGCTGGGTTCTCAGTGTAATGACAGAATGGCGTCCCCGGTTACCTGGTAACCAGGGGCGCTGATCTGTCTCTGCAAGTGGCCGGATCCAGCCGTGAGATGACGGCTGGCTTCGCCCAGCTGTCAGTAGCAGGCTGTCGGCTGGCCAAAAGCCGGCCGTTCGGCCAGCTTCGAATTTCACCTGGGCTCAGTCAAGCCGAAGCATATGCCTTCAGATCGACTGAGCCGCTCGGCCAACTTCGAGAGCTGTATGGGCTATAGTGAATAGCCCATACAGCAGCCCTTCGGTTCTACTGAACCGAATGGGTCCTGGGGCCGAAGCTAGCCGAAGGATCAGCCGAAGCAATGGCTAGATCCTTCGGCAGCTTTGTGAATAACCCCCTAAATCTGAATTCCTTAACCAAATATTACTGCGTTTTGCCCAGCATCTATGGAAGATGCTCAAAAAAAAAAGCAAGATAGCGCAAGATCACCAGAGGAACACATACGTACAACTAGTACAGTGCATTTCCTGCCAACTGCACACAAAATATATAGATGCTAATACCATCATTAATATGACCTGGACTGTAGATAGGCCCAAAGGTATTGACTTATACGATTAGTGCATATCCTGACTTGAGGAATGAAACACTGTTGGACTGACTCTGTTTGCTGATGACAAATTAACTTTAAACTAGGGATGTCCCGATACCGATACTAGTATCGGTATTGGGGGCGGTACTGGGCATTTTCACGAGTACTTGTACTCATGAAAATGCCCCGATACTAAAGTTTGATCTTGGCCCTTTAAATATTTAAACAAGTTTGGCTGCCTGAGGTCCAGCGCTTGCTGGGGATCTCAGGCTGCCTGCTGGGGACCTCATCAGCTGTCTATGAGAGCACCGTTCCAGCCCCAGATCTTCTCCTCCTCCTAGCCAACGCCCGCAGAGACAGCACAGCACTGGACAGCCCCACACCACCCGGGCAGCCCTGGAAAACCCGGCACCCACCCGTTCAGCCCTGGAGAGCCCAGCACCCACCCGCAGAGCACTGGAGAGCCTGGCACCCACCCGCAGAGTCTTGGAGAGCCCGCCACCCACATGCAGCCCTGGTGAGATCTGCCCTGGTGAGGCCCAAACGCAACCCTTGTGTCATCTGCATGCAGCCCTGGTGAGACCCAAACACAGTCCTGGAGAGACCGCACACAGCCCTGTATAATTGCTATATAATCATGGATTTATGAGATCTGTAGTCTTCTATGACCAATCAGGAAGCCAGGCTGCCTAGCAATAAGTTAAGCTGGCTTCCTACCCAATCAGGTCATAACCTGCTGCCTGGCTTCCTGATTGGCCGGGAAGCCGGCTCCATGCTGCTTCATGGCACTGCTGGTCAGAGGGAGATCATAAGAGATAAGTATGTGA